GAACGTTAAGATTAACAAATTCTGATCAAAGGTTTAAACTTTCAAAAGACGGAGAAAAAGAAAAAGAGACTTGACAGCGAAGATCAGCGTCCCGAAGCCTGGCCTCGATTTCGTCAACAGTAGACGGTGGTGGCGTCTTGGACTCGAAGAGCCTCCGTCGGAGCCAAGGTGGTCGACATCGCCAGCTCGGGAGCTAATTCTCATGTAATCCACCACATAGTCAGCTGTCTCACTGATGTTGAAGCTTATTTCATCAAGCGAAGGCAGCTCTTATACTAGAGAGATGAGTTTGGCGATAGAGGAGAGAAAGTGACGGTTGACCCTTCACTTGTCTTCAAGAATCCAAGGCTGAGAAATGCATACATTGCATTACAAGTTTTGAAACAAGCCATTCTCTCAGATCCCCAAAATCTTATTGCGAATTGGGTCGGATCTGATGTTTCATGTTTGTAACTATACCGGTGTATTCTGTGCTTCCGTACCAGACAACTCTTCTATTCTTACAGTTGCTAGCGTTTATCTCAACCATGGTGACATTATTGGGTGTCTTCCAAAAGAACTTGGCCTACTCACAGATCTGGGCGTTTTCCATATCAACTCCAACAGGTTTTGCGGTACTGTGCCCAAGAAATTCAAAAACTTGAAGATACTCTTTGAATTGGACTTGAGCAATAAAAGGTTGGGAAATTTCTCTCTGTTGTGCTAAGTTTGCCTAAGTTAATCTATTTAGATATACGTTATAATGAGTTTGAAGGAATTGACCCTTCTAAACTATCTGACAAACCTTTGGATGCCATATTCATCAATTACAACAGATTTGCCTTTGAATTGCCTGGTAATTTTCGATAGGTCTCGTCCGAGAAGAATACCGTGAGATTTTGATTTGGGGAAGTGGGATTGGGTGGAGGGAGTAGGGTTATATATTTTTATTTTTATTTTTTGGTTTTTTAATTTAATTTTTAACTTATTTAATGTGAGAAAAATATAAAGTTACCATTTTACTCTTAAATATTTGGTCAAAATTGATCAATTTTTTATTTTCTTGATCAACTAACGGTAAAATGGATGGAATCCATCCATCTAGACTCCAGCTGCATATTTTTAAATGTTTGAAACTGTGAGTGACACAAAATGAAGATTATGGTAAATTTTGCAAAAATTGAAAAGATTTGGACCGTTGCTGCAATTTTCCCAAATATTAATGATGAGATAAAACATTACATTGAAACATCTTTGGGAGTTTATTATGTATTATTTATAGTTGATTAAGCTGTTTCTTCACCTAGGTAAATGTTTGAACAATTTTAAAAATATGAAATACTTTTGATTTTCGGTTTGATTTTAAAAAAAAATTAACTAGAGATAATAATTGTTTGAAGTGTTGATATTATAAACTTGAAAAAAATTGAAGCTTGACAAGGATTATGATATTAATAAGTACACATTTATTTTATAAACTGTAATATTGTTAGAAATTGTTGGACGAAAGATACCAAAAAGGTAATTAATCTTTTAGACTATATAAGAATGACAGTTGTTTTTCAAATGTAAGGATTGCTTATTACTGATATATTAGTTACAGTTGCATTTGTCGGGAGAACCTTCTCAAAGTTGAAGTTGACAAAATACTACTTTTAGTCAACAATGACAAAAAAATGTTGAATGAATTGATAATGTTGTCTATCAAAAAGGAAATAGATATTTGTACATCAAATCCTCTACCGAATGTTTTACATCATCTCACAATGTATGGCGAGCCTCGTGTGAATTTAAAAATGCTGACATGTGGTTCCCACCCCTATTTCAAGTAGTAGGTAAAAGATTCGGTAAAAAAACTTGGTATGTGTAGCATTGTTCCTATCAAAAAATAAGTTTTAAAACATATTGATTGTAATAGTATAGTAATTGATTTTCTATCAAAAAATTCTAGAGAAATAAATTTAGCTCTTGTTTGAGTCCCATTTTGGGGAATAGAATGAATTTTTGAATAGTGAATTGATGTGAAATGTGTAATTAAAAAATAAGGAAAAATTTTAGATTTGTGTGTAATATTATTTTATTGAAAATGTGTGGTGAAAATGATGTCAAAATACTGTTGAAAAATACATTTTTACCAAAGAATGAGATCAAACAAGGGCTTAATCTAGACATTTGAAAGTTTTAAATTATTATTATTGTAACTTTTACTAAAACATATTGATTGTAATAGTATAGTAATTGATTTTCTATCAAAAAATTCTAGAGAAATAAATTTAGCTCTTGTTTGAGTCCCATTTTGGGGAATAGAATGAATTTTTGAATAGTGAATTGATGTGAAATGTGTGATTAAAAAATAAGGAAAAATTTTAGATTTGTGTGTAATATTATTTTATTGAAAATGTGTGGTGAAAATGATGTCAAAATACTGTTGAAAAATACATTTTTACCAAAGAATGAGATCAAACAAGGGCTTAATCTAGACATTTGAAAGTTTTAAATTATTATTATTGTAACTTTGAATTTTTTTTTAATCAAAATTATTACTTTGATTATTTTATGTATTTTTACACACATAGGTGTTTCATATTTGAAATTGATTTAAGACCCTCAAAATTTCAAGATCGACCTTGCAAGCAAGTAGAGTACACCTCGACCAATTCATCTGCTAAGTTAAGTACAACTCAATCGTTGGATAGAGCTTGTCTACTTGGAACACACCTTTAAGATAAAGTTAAACGAAAAGAGAATGTAATAATTCTATTAAATTGAACGTTTGAATTATAAAATGTCATCTAACCATGAACTTTATGGCCAATATGCTAGATGTGCGTCTTTTGCCACCCTTTCGAGCTCCAACACTAAATGAAAAGGTTAAAAGGTGGTCAAGAATCTACAAAATCCCATTGAAGAAAGCAAAAGATAAAATTGAAGGCAACATAATGATTGAAGAATTCACTATTATATGCATGGCAAACAAAACTTATTGGATATGGCCCAACAGCGAAAAATAAAGGCAGCATAATGTTTTTTTTTTTTTTTTTTTTTTTCAATTTATTTTTTGGAAGAGAAAAGAAAAAAATAATCCAATAACCGCTATCGGCATTTCATGTAAAAATTGAGAGAGAGAGAGAGATAGATAATAGAAGAAGCAGCAGCAGCAGTTATGTAAGTGGCATACAAGCATTAAGATCGAATTTACGCCTTGTTTGGTCCCCATTTTTTGAAATGAAAATGGGTGGAATTGTGTTTTTTTGAAAAATGAGTGATTGAAAAGAAAGAAAAATTTTCAGTTTATGTATAAGATTATTTTATGAAAAATTGTGTAGTTAAAACTAAAAAAGAGAAAAATAAAATGTAATGTAATGGAGTTCAAACTGCGGCTTAATCCATTTCTAACATTCACGCAAATTATAGATCCCAGAACCAAGAGATCATTTTCACAATCTCATAAATTTCACCTTGCGATTCATTCTTGGAAGAATATGAGTAAATGAGTAAATTACTTCATCAATAATAGTTCTGCTCTTCGAAATTCGAGTATTTAATATGTAAAATCGTTGGGTTCAAATTTAATTATAGAATCAAATGGGTTGCGGTTCCATCGGTTCGGTTCCTGAATTCCATATAATAATTAAATTTTTTAATATTTACAATAATGCTGCATTAATTCAACTAACGATAGATAATAGAAGAAGCAGCAGCAGCAGTTATGTAAGTGGCATACAAGCATTAAGATCGAATTTACGCCTTGTTTGGTCCCCATTTTTTGAAATGAAAATGGATGGAATTGTGTTTTTTTGAAAAATGAGTGATTGAAAAGAAGGAAAAATTTTCAGTTTATGTATAAGATTATTTTATGAAAAATTGTGTAGTTAAAACTAAAAAAGAGAAAAATAAAATGTAATGTAATGGAGGTCAAACTGCGGTTTAATCCATTTCTAACATTCACGCAAATTATAGATCCCAGAACCAAGAGATCATTTTCACAATCTCATAAATTTCACCTTGCGATTCATTCTTCGAAGAATATGAGTAAATGAGTAAATTACTTCATCAATAATAGTTCTGCTCTTCGAAATTCGAGTATTTAATATGTAAAATCGTTGGGTTCAAATTTAATTATAGAATCAAATGGGTTGCAGTTCCATCGGTTCGGTTCCTGAATTCCATATAATAATTAAATTTTTTAATATTTACAATAATGCTGCATTAATTCAACTAACGAGATATTCAATTTTAGCTCTTAAAAAATAACATAGTTCAATCTAGTGATATCCGTTGCACATCTATTTGTTGATTTCTTCATATATTTGACTACTAAAATCCTCTTCTAATAGCAAGCTCATAATAATAAAGGGAGGTGTAGTCAAGCTTTCGATTCAATTTCTCCAGAACAACGGAAACGATACTACGATAGAATGAAAGATTGGGTAATACTTAGATCAATTTGATTAAGTTGGATTTAGACTAAAAATTAGAAATAGGAAATCAAATTTATTTAATTTTTTTTTAAAATAATGCAACTTATTTAATATAAAAAAAAAATTAAAAATTATGGAGATTCAATTATTATTCGATTCTTCATTTAAAACTCATAATTGAACCAAGGCAAGCTCATAATAATAAAGGGAGGTGTAGTCAAGCTTTCGATTCAATTTCTCCAGAACAACGGAAACGATACTACGATAGAATGAAAGATTGGGTAATACTTAGATCAATTTGATTAAGTTGGATTTAGACTAGAAATTAGAAATAGGAAATCAAATTTATTTAATTTTTTTTTTAAAATAATGCAACTTATTTAATATAAAAAAAAAATTAAAAATTATGGAGATTCAATTATTATTCGATTCTTCATTTAAAACTCATAATTGAACCAAACCCTATTGGTTCTTGATTCAAATATCTTATTCGGGTATTTAACTAAAGAAGAATCGCTTGGTTCGGGTTCGATTCAGTTCAGGAGTTTTTTCCAATCCTATGGAAAAGACTCGAGCAAGAAAAAATGTATAATAGCCTCAAGCAAGCAAAATATGAAGATTTATATACAGCAGAATGCTTTGGTCAGTAACCAGCTCTGGAGATGGTAACGTTCCCCGCACTTATATGAGCTCGACTTCTTCATTACTATTTGAAATGATACACGTTTCTAAAACAACTCTACACCCCACAAGGTAAAAGGAAAAAACAATCCAAGGCGAATAAAAACATGAATGAACAAGCCACCTACTTGGAGGAGGAGAAGCGGCAGAAGGGCAAAAGGAAACGTTTTCATCTTTTGCTTCTCTGACACTTGGATCGTTTGTCTGCCCCCGATATTGAACCATCCACTGGCAATGCATCTCTGCATATTCCCTTTGTAGCAAGGGGAAAGGAAATGTAAAACATTAGCACAAGTTTCAGGCTTCATGCTTCTACCTCTTCTGCAACAGTCGTGAGGACTCCCCCTTTGACAAAGGCTGGGTCAAGAAATTTAGCCACGAATGCCCATAACTTATAAACGTCATCGAAGTTGGACAAAAAGCTAAGAGAAGCAGTGACAACCTCAACTCTGACGAACCCACTTTTACCATCATGTCTGCCATTTTCCATTGGCTTGCAAAGGGTCAAATCGTCAAGACTCAAAGAGCCTCGTTGCTGTTTGGAGCTATCCAGAATCCGTATGTGACTGAGGATGCCAACGCCAAGAGAGATACCGTGTGACTCAGCCATTTTCAGAACAACTTCCGGACTAATCAGACCCCGGTTTCGGTCCCTCACATTGAATGCAACAGCTGCACCTCTTTCGTATTTAATTTTCGGGCCATAGATCTGAACAAGTGTTACACTGTCCTTTCCGTTTGAAGCCGGGAATCTTAATTGAATCAATGAAGTTACGAGCCAATTAATCAGGAATCGGAGTCGAGAGGTTGTCTTGTTGAGACCTAACATGTTTATGTGATCAAGATGCTTACAGATTAACTCGGGTTCATTCCTGTCCAACTCTTGTTCATCACCGTATTCCCCATTACTAATGTAGTCCTCATCGTCGAGGTTTGTGACTGATAATTCTCCCAGCTCTGGAGTTTGGTTTAGATGAGCTCTGTGATTGTCTTCTGTGCTAAAGGATACCCTTCTTTCCCTGCTTCCAAGCGGCTCTGTCTCTTCTATGCCAAAAAATCTACCACCAGCCATTCTACTTCTCTCTCTCCTTTCCAACAACCTAAACTCACCTTCTGTTTCTCGTCTTATTGCGTTTTCCTTTGAACAGGGAGTTATCTCAGAAGCTGAACCGTTCATAATGCTTCTATGTTTAGAAGCAGAAGCCAAGTTGTTGGGACCGTATCCTTTTACAGCAGAATTTAGTGATTTGTTATTGGTATCTGGTTCCTCTTCAATTTCTTGAAAATGTCGATACTCTGGAGTTCTATATTCTCTTGAAGCCTGGTTTCTTTCAGTAAAATGTTCTTCTTCAGGAATCTCCTCAAAATGGTCCAACTCTTGAGAAACTGATCGAACAGCTGCATCAAATGATAATACATGGTGGTCATGGTATCCTGAATATAGTTCCTTGTCAAACATCGGGCTACTTGATAGCTTTAATGATTTTGGAGAAATTTGCCTGCGATTTTTTCTGGCAGAAAACCAAACTGGTGGCGATGGAGAGGACACATTGAGTTTGTTTGAATGACCAGCTTTATCAGAACCCAGTGGACTCTGACCTAAATCAATCCACAATGAGTTATCCGACGATTCATCTTCACTAAAGACCGGGCTTTTCATAACCTCCCCAACAGAAATACTCTCAGTTTCCTCAAAAATAGTGCTCGTCCCATCCCTATCAGAACTGTTATCATGCTCCATCTCACTTTCAAATACATCTTTCACCTGTGAAGATGTGAATGCGCCAGAAAAGGCAGGCAACTGAGATCCTGGACGAGTTTCTGACTTAACTTCATTCCCATTGACTTCTTCGTCCTCTACAAACCCTGGAAAATTATCCATTGAATCACTCAAGTACAGAGGAAACACAGGAGTGATTTTCACTATACCTGACCCTGCATGTCCAGACTGATTTTGAAGGCTTGACATCACAGATTTCTTGATTAAAAGACATCCAAATCCTGTCGGGTCATAGCCAAAGACTCTGTAGAATGACGTGATGATGAAATCTGGTCGAAATAAAGATAATCCAAGAGAATCCATGTCCTTTGGGCCCAACGACCCAGCATCAAGTAAAACATGCCAGTTCTTCTGTTGAGCCAGGGCCATCCATTGATACGAGTACTTTGCACCGGTAACTCTTGACTGCACAGGGAACACGAAAAGTCCAACAGCGGAATCTTTCTTTCTCCTCCGTTTGTTCAAAATTTGCTTCCTCAAATCAGTCGAACAGAGCTTGAGAGAAGGCCATTTAAACCAAGCGCTATTAACTTTGGCACCTTTCTCTCTAGCACTTTGAGCCATCCAATTCACAGACTGGCTTTCGTGATCAAACATGGTCAACAACCTTTTGTTTGCTTGAAATGGATACGATTCAGCTAACAGTTTAAAGGCTGAGCCACGACTCACAGTAAATACAAGGCCATACTCATTCTCAGGGATATTCAAATAGTCCATTATTCTCATCTTTATATCATGTTCAATGGTGCCTTTCTCAGCACCCCCATATAGAGCGTGATTTCCCAAATTTGCAGTAATCTCAGACAAGCTAAATGTGGACGATTCCCAATAGTGAACAGTTTGTAGCAATGAAAACAATCCAAATCCACAGTAGTCGAGACATACCTTTGAATTGGGACCAGAGAGATGCGAATACTCATCTGCCCTCAGTTGATCAATCCTCTCAGAAGACTGATACTTAGGGTACATCTTGAGGAACTTCAAGAATGCCTCACCAAGCTCGGGAATGGAGTCCCCAGAACCGAATGTAAGCTCAGCCGCAAGAGCAGTGGCTCTAAGAAACTCTGCCTGTGCATTTAGTCGAGCAAGTGATCGTGATCGGCCCAAACCCTCATCTTGATCGACCATGGAATCAGAAGCCATCTTTTGGGATTTAACAAGAGACCCATATTCAGATGCTTCCTCGAGAGCCTCCTTGAGCTTATGCTCTCGCAATTTCTGCAGAATTAAAGGGTTTCTCTTGATTTCTTCTGTTGAATGATCAGAATCATCTTTTCTTCTGCTCTTTTTGTCCAAGACTAGAGAAGCACAGTGAGATAATGGCTTCCAAAGTGAGATATGCATCAAAAAACCTTTTTTTCCCTTCTACAGCAAAATCAATCTGATAAGAGTGTGAGAGATGTTCAGAAAGAATAATCAATCAAAGCGGTTGGTTTTTACGTTTAGCCCATCTAACACGAAACCGCAGAAAAGGGGACTCGATTCAAACCCCAATCTCCAAAAGCAAAAGGAATTAAAAGCTATAAAATACAAAGGCTTCCACCAGAATAAACCTTTGCTTTCAAAAATCAAAACTCGATATCATAAGGAGGGAAAGGGCCAGTCATTTGCCTTAAGCTAACAGTCAAACACTGTTTGAAATTGAGCTGAAAAGAACTCTAAATAATATAAATTTATTAAAATTGGACCAGGTCAAGAAAGCCCCATAGTTGACCTTTCTTGAAGATTAGATGATGACAACAGATAAGGAATAAAAGGGTAAATTATACCCACAGGTTTTTGGAATTGAAGTGTGAAATCCAATAAATTTAGGATTTCACTTCAAAGTGTCAAGAATAATTGCAAATCAAGAAAATAAAACCGAACAAGAATAGACTATTTCCAAAGATTCAATCTTTAGCATAAATTTATGCAAAACCCAACAAGGCGAAATCAAGAAAAAGCACAAGTACACAATAGGCAGATCCCGAAGAATTGAATGTGGAAGAGAACTACTTGGACACATCAAAATGACAACAAAACTGTTTGAAGAAATGTCTCAAAGGTCTCGAGCTGAGTATATATCAGTCTAAGAATACCCCTACTCTTTTCTTCAAACACCTGATAGGGGATATGAACTTCATTTTCTCTCTCTCTTTTCTGCAAGCCAATCAAAGAGAGAACCACCACAATAAATGCACATTTACTCAGTTGTGAATCCAGAAACATTACACTCATTGATTACGGTTACCCCACCTCTCCCTCTCTTTCTCTTCTCTCTCATGCCAGTGGGTTACTGTGAAATTACTAGTTGTTGTATTTGTATAGCACACATAAACAATTAGCGAGAAAATGACAATTGACTTAATTAATAAATATTTGAATTACATTAATTGGACCCACCATTGCCCAACCCTTTGTTCCTGCATTAATGGTTCAAAGTCAAATAATTAGCTTACTTGTAAAGTTGCTCCCTTTCGGAAAGTCCAACTATTTTGCCTCCTTTTCTTATGTACAAATTGATCGTTTGTTTAGCCAAACAAGAATTAAGAAACACGGTTCGAATAAACGCATCCATACGAGTAAGAGTGTTAGCAAAGGGTAATACAGTGCATTACGAATATGACGAGTTCAACATCCATGATGCTTCTTTCAAATAAATAAATTGTTAAGAATAAAAAAAAAAAGAGTGAAGAAAATAATTAAATATTGTTCATTTAGTGTGAGTTTTGGTGTAATGATTGGATATGACTTTTAATTTGGTGCAAGATTTGAAGTAAAATGGTGCAAAATTTACTTTAAATCTTGGTACAGGGTTGAAGACGACCTTAATGCACAATTATTAAGAGATACGATCTCATCTACTCATATACGCGTTGGCCAAATTATGTATAGTCTGAAGAGGTTTCAAAACTTTTAAGATAATCTTATTATACTTTAGATAATTATGTGTTTATAAGATTAATTACACATTATCCAATTGAAATTAACCAAAAAAAAGGTCATTGATGCTCTAAACCTTTGTGTACTGATAATTTATTGGTTATATATTTGATTAATTTACTATGCTAACGAATTTAAATTAGTAAATTCAGATATAGAAGTTCTACTAAATAGTTAGAAATTTGTGTATTGGCTTTTTTTTTTTTTATTATACTTTAGATAATTATGTGTTTATAAGATTAATTACACATTATCCAATTGAAATTAACCAAAAAAAAGGTCATTGATGCTCTAAACCTTTGTGTACTGATAATTTATTGGTTATATATTTGATTAATTTACTATGCTAACGAATTTAAATTAGTAAATTCAGATATAGAAGTTCTACTAAATAGTTAGAAATTTGTGTATTGGCTTTTTTTTTTTTTTTTTTACCGGATGAAAATGAAATGTGTATTCTATATTTTTTAGTAATTACATAATTCCAATGGTTTAAATACGATAATTCAAAATCCAGGAATGAAGTTTCATCTATTCACAAATCAAGTATCAATATAATACAAATCCTAACCATAAATCATTTTTCTTCTCTATCATCTCTACCTCTCTCCGTTCTCTCTCTTCTACATCGGCGACGAAGGAGCTGCACCGATCGACTGAGAACTCGACGATGGAGCTTCGACACCGACTGATTTTTGCAGTTCGTCAACATAACGTCACTACAATTTGGGGGGTTTTTTTTCTTTCTCTTTCCGACCTAAGAAGGTTGTGGTGATCATTGATATGAGCGGTGGTATTGTGTAGTGGTGATGGCGACGACTATTTGAGGATTGTTTGACTGATCTGGTGGTTGTGGTCATAGGAAGACGTGGTGGCTCTATGCACAACATTGCTGAACATCATCTTTACACACCAATAATTGTTGGTGGATGTGGTGGTGTAGTACAGAGGGCAATGGTGATGGTGGTCGATTTTGCTGTTGTTGGCGGTGGTTATGGTAGATTTCATCGGTAGTGTGGTGCAGGTGGCGATCCTCAATTTTTTTGTTGTTAATGGTTGTGGTGGTGTGGTACAGGTGACGATTGTGTAGTGGTGGTCAATTTTTTGTTGGTGATGTTGGGGCAGGGCGGGGTGGTGTGTCGATTTGGAGGTGGTGGGTGGTTGTTGGAGCAAGATGCAATGGTGCTGTATATGATGGTGCTACTGCTGGCAGTGTTGGTGAGGTAATGGTGGTGGCGATGTGGATCTGGCAACAATTTTTATGTGGTGATGCAGGTAGAGGTGTTGACGGTGGTGAAGACAGTTGACTATGGTGATGGTGATGGTGATGGCGGTGGTGCGATGGTGGTAGTGTTGTGGTGCTACAAAGAAATGAGAGTGAGGTTGGTCGCAAGTGGCAGTGGCAATTGTGTTGGTGGTGGTGGATAAACTGTGACCTTAAAACATGTTAACTTATGATTAAAATATAATTTGTAACCAACAAATTTGAAAATTTGCAATTGATACATAAACTGTGATATGTAATTTTTTTTATTTGTGACCAATGAAATGAATTGTGATCTGTAAAATTTTTTATTTGTGATTTCGAAATAATCTATGACAGATAAAATTTTGATTTGTAACTTTGAAATAATTTGTGACCAATTAATTTGATAATAAATGACCAGTAAAAAAGTTGTGACCTATAATTATATATATGTGACCATTAATTGTATAAATATGACATTATTAAATTTAATTAATAAATATTTTTAATTAATTAGTTAATACCTAGGTTTTGCATATTAAAACATACCACCTCAAAATTGAATTTGTGATACTTAACCCTTTACTTTTGAATTTTTCCCTATTTTTTATCTTCTTAGAAAATTATGATATTTTAATATAGTGCTTGTTTAATTAGCTCTTCTTAGCACTTGAGGATTTCAATTTGTTCTTCATATCATAAACTCTTTCGCTTTTATTTTTTATTTTTATTTTTATTTTTTTTCCAAAGTTTTTCTTGCTAGTTGCTTTGCTTCCTTACTCAACGTGATAACTAGTTGACATCTATCTAACCGTCGCTTCTTCATTCCTGGCTGGAAATGTCAATTCATCAATTATTTTCTACCATTTTTAATGTCGAACAATTCATTCATATAAAGCCTTCTCTACTCTGAAAAAATGTTGCTTTGTGACGCTTAACATTACCTTTTTACGTTGAATATATCGATATTGTTCCATGGCTACAATTTATTTTCGAGTGCCCGCGGGACATTCCATGCTATATCACAAAATTGATTATGCATTTCATTAAAGTTTATCCCTTAACACCTTTAAAATGAGAAAAATCATCAGTGATGAAAAAGATAGCTAATATTTAAGAAAATAAATATATACATTAAACTTCAATTATTTAACGAGTTCGTCTCTATAAGATTTAAAATAAAAACAGTACACATTCAATTGAATTTCTCGATTAATTTCTCTATCCTTCTTATTATATAAATTTTATGCAATCCTACATTAGCAATTTTCAATGTTTTATGGTCGTTGTTAGGCTTTTGTCCTTTGGCTTTGGACTAGACGAGGATAAAGATTATTACTATTAAATAAAACAAAAAGGAAGAAGTTAAAATTAAATACTTTAGGATCCTGAGCGAAGTTGTGAGCTGATTCTTCCACTTGCATATAATTGATTTATTTAATAAATATTTGGTCAACCAATGTATGAATTTCCATGAGCGTGTGAGATGTCCCAAGATTTTGTTTGTCCTTTCGTAGTTTTCTTTCTGTGTTTTTATGTTTAAAAAATTCATAAATGTCACTTTCATCCCCCAATTTACATAATAATTATTGATAAGTGGCACTATTTTAGAAGGTTGGTAGAGTATTTATTAACTGGAATATAGAATTTAATATCTCCTTCCCTTTGCTATCCCTCACGAGTCATTACTCATAAGAACTTATTTTGGATTTATGAGGAATAGGAATTTAATACTAGACTATACTACCAAGAGGATTTGACGTTAGCTGGGTCGGAAATCAACGTCTGCAATAGCGATGTCTTCTATTAATATTTAATTAAAAGTTATTAAAAAAATTTCAATCTATATGTAAATAAGATAAGATTCAATGTTTGATTTATTTATTCTCTTGAAAATAAATGCATGTGCTCTATAATATGTTGACTGGATAGCAAAATGCTCCAAAAATGTTTTACACAAAGTTTGACAATATAAAATTGAGTCTATGTTGCGTAATGCTAGACATGGATAACAACAAGATGTTTAAAACGTCGAAATAAAATAGATTTAATGATTCAAACATGAAAGCATTTAGAATTGCAGGCAATTCTTCCAGAGTGATATCCACAAGTGGAAAATTCTATTAAGGTTTTGCCCATGACCTAATCACTCCATTCTTCAAACAAAAATATTTATTAAACCAAGCAAATTTTTTTTTACCACTTCTACCAAGTGCAATAAATAAAAATAAAAAAATAAATAAAAATAAATAAAAACTCGGTATTTGACAATAGCAATTATATATCTGATATGGCACTATAGCAGACTATTTAAAACTCAACACATCCCCACATCGTAACAGTTATATATGAGCATTATATCAGAACGTAAATCAATAAGTAGAATAACAAGTCCCGAACATGGACATAAAACATAATGAGATCAAAGGAGTACATTTTGTCGTTGAGATGGAATGGAGCTAGTCTCCAAGACAAACACTGTGGAAGGATCCATTGCAGTTTGCATTTTCACACTTATAATAATTCTTGCTCCCACTCTGTATACCAATTTCATCATCTAATGTCAAAAATCACCAAGTTAAATATAAGGGAGACAGAAAAATTGTCCTCAAACATTTTTGGCGGCTTTCGACTACAATTGTAATTTCAGATGTAGTTCCCTCGCTGGGTGCTGGCTCTGTCATTGCTACCAAGGTTGGAGAAATAACTATGGATGATAATATCCTCGTTAATATATTATAATTCTTGATTTATCCTTTAATTTATATTGTAATATTATTTAATCATAGTTTCTCCAATTAAAGGCATAAAATAGATTTTTTTAGAATAGATTTTGTGAATGATTTTTTTATTTTTATTTTTCTTTTCTTTTACATTTTTTTTTTTGAGAATTTATAAGTAAAAAGTAAGGAAATATTATCAATTCGATTCACTAAAGTTAATTAATCTTGATCTTTTTTCTTTCTTGAAGTTATATGAAATAAATCGTTCTGATTAGTCAAGACTTAAAATCCATTGGGACTAAGCAGTCACAAGGAAAGAGAACACAAAGAAGCAGTCTTTGCTTCTAACAACAAGAATCGGGAAAAAGCCTTAGCTGACCCAAACTGGAT